CGGTCTTGCACGGCAGATCCTTCACCTCGCTCGAGAGACGATTATGCGCGAACAAACTGGCCTTTCACCTGCGGAAACTGAGATCCTCCTTGACGCTTTCTTGAGTGATGTGCGCGCCCTGCTCCAGAATCCAGCGCTGACCGCGTTCGAGGAGTTGCTGCGAGCGCCCCCGCTGACACCGTCGTCGAGCTGCACCGAGCCTGCCACTGTCCGAACCGTCAAGCCGAACAAGGCCTACTCGCCGCAAGATGCGGCACAGCGTGCTACCCAACACGAGCGAGAAGCTCGGGAACAAGAAAAGGCTCAGGTTGCGCCTCTCATGGCGGAGTACAACCGGGCAATGCGGACCTACGAAGACAAAATCGAGCCCGTCATGAATCAGCAGGACCAACTCAAGTCGACGATCGATGCCGACCAGGCCCGGCTCGCAGAACTCGAGGCAGATGACTCGGCAGCCGCTCTGGTTGCAGACGTGCGTGCGCAACTTCACGCGAACCAGCAGAGGCTCGCCAAAGTCAACGCGACCGTGAAGCAAATGGTCGCCGCAAAACCCAAGCGCCCCGACGTCCGACACGTCCGCGCGCTTGCCGCCTCGAAAGCAGCAGCTGCGGCACCGGCTTTGCAATCGGTTGCGACGATGGCGGTTGAGCAGGACGACTCTGACGACGAATGCGAAGAGGACGGCATTCCGCCGTCGCCAATGCAGGTGACTTCTGCCGCTCCAGCGCGCTCCAGGAAGAGAATCTATGAAAGAGACTCTGACGACGAGGCCGCTCCATCATTTGAAACAGCACAGAGTGGCGGGTCGGACGAGAATGTGACCTATTCACTGTCGTCAAGATCTCTCGAGCGGCTGAAGGAGCCCCGTCTTGCTACCCGCAGCTCATCGCGGCTCATATCGTCTCCAGGTGTGACACTCAGTCGTGCCAACACAATTGGCGTGAGCAGCTGGCTGACAAACGACATGGCGGCGATGCAGCTCGTGTCAACCGAGGGAAATGTGTCGTCCACGCCGAAAACCGATCGCCGGAAGCGACTCGCGCTATCTGACCTCTCCAATTCGAACTAAATGTGTTACATGTATGACTTTATGTGCAATTTTATGTATGTTATTGGTGTCGGGTTGATTAAACGACGATAATTCTTTGTCCCGATTCGACCCCGCGCACGCTCCTGGCCATAAGTACCAGCAGCATGACCCTATCATCCACCAACGCGGACAAGATCGGTTTTCTTTGCATCTTCGCTGCATGTCCGGTGTCGGAGACGGGCTGGAAGGTGCCGGGAGTGTTGCGGAGGTTGTCCCTCCATCTACCGGACACGATTTTTCGCGCCCAGCCAAAGGTCAATGCAAAGTCAAAATTTCATATTGCTCCGACCGCCTCCATTTTTTGCACATCGTCTATATTAATAATGTTGAACAAGAATATGAAGAGAGCCAGATGCAGGATGGTCACCAGTTTCTGTCCGGTAGAAGGAGGGTTCTCTCTAGTCGTTTTTTTTTTTTTTTTTTTTTTGACTTCTCTCAAACGCGCTGTTCAGAATGTCGCTTCTTGCCACCCAACAGCGCTCGGCCGTGCTGATGCTGTACCGGCTGGTGCTGCGCACATCCGAGCAGCTGCAGTTTACCGATCGCGCGTGGTTTGAGGCGCGTGTGCGGCGCGAGTTTCGTGAGCCGCGCGCAAACGCACAACTAACAGCCGACGCCATCCAGGCAAGCGCAGCGCGAGGGGTTTTCCTTTGGTTTGTTGATTTGTCAAGTTGCACCATGCCACACTAACCGCGCACATTCACTGTCCACATTGCGCAGCGAGCGTTGCTGTACTTGAAGGAGCGGCCGTTGCTTTGAGAGCTGCATGCTGCTCTTCCTTCGCGCGCGCCTCGGACGCCCCAGTTTGCGACGACCTTGATTGCAGCCGACCCAACAAGCACCCCCAACCCTCTTGGCATCGAACACACCCAACTTTACAGAGCGCGACACGATGCGCATGGCCACGGAGACGCCAAGACACCCCAGACTGGGTTTTCATCCAAAGTCCTGCTTCTCTCTCGCGTCGACGTCTCGCTGCCGCAAAAGTGCATTGCTCCGGCTTGGATCTGTGCTGTGTGTGCTGTCTGTGTGTGTCTTCTTCACCGTTGTGTTGTTGCGATCCGTGGCTCGTTGCGCTGGTCGTTGTCGTCCCATAAACACGCGCGCACGCTTCATGAACATGGTTTAAATCCGCTCTACATGGCGATCCGTGGAACTGCTCGAATGAGCTTCGCCGGTCGCGGGGAACGGGCTTCAAACCCGTTGGTGGTTGACGCCACAGCAGTTCGACTCTGCCTTTCGAGCGCCCATGCTTTTTTTTTTCTTCTTCCTTCCTTCCTTCTTCCTCGTTTCGTTTTGATGGAGCTGAAAGTGGAGGGAAAGTGGAAAGTTGGATAAATTTTCTGTATGTTTTTTCCGGTGTTTCACGAACAAGCTCGCACCCCTCTGCACACTCGGCACACTCTGAACAATCACAACTCGGACATCAATGCGACTTCACATCGGTTCGGCCTTTGGAGGCGGTGGCGGTCGTGCTGTTGGCGGACGACCGACCGTGGAAGTCATCCATCGAGTTGCTCACGCCAAACAAACGGACAACAGCGTCCATGGCCTGCGTGGGGAGGATGCTCTTGGCAAATGGCATGAGATAGACAAAGCGAGGCATGCACAGGATGGACTGGTTGGTCAGAATGGCGTCGAGGATTTTCGCAACGGCATAGTCGGGCTTCAGGATGGGCAGGATGAGCGGGAAGCGTGTGGTGACGCCCTCAAACATGCCCGTGTCGATAAAAAAGGGGCACACAACGGTGGTCTTGACGCCAGTCTTGCCAAGCTTGTGCATCTCGTAGCGCAGCGATTCGTCAAGGCCGACGGCGCCGTGCTTGCTCGCGCAGTAATCGGCCAGGCCCGCAACGCCAATCAGACCCGCCGAGCTGGCAATGGTGACTACGTGTCCGTGGTTGCTCTCAATCATCGCGGGCAGGAAGGCCTTGACAGTCCAGAAGTGGGCGGTCGTGTTCACCGAGAAGGTCTTTTCAATCAGCGGATCGGGGCAATCCAGCAGCTTGCGGCCAGTCACAATGCCGGCGTTATTGACGAGGATGGACACTTGGCCGACTTCGCTCTTGACGCGCGCAGCCATGGCGTAGACGTCATCGCGCGAGCTCAGGTCGCACTTGTACGCAAACGCGGCGGCCTTGTCGTCCGGGCGAAGGGCACGGATCTCGGCCGCGACCGCTTGCACGGCTTCAAAGTTGACATCGACGAGAACCAGTGTCGCGCGCAGCTTGGCGAGCTCGAGGGCCAGCAGGCGGCCGAGACCCGAGCCCGCGCCAGTGATTAAGGCAATCTCGCCGTCGACCGGCTTACGCGTCGGGAAGAAGAAGCGGAACCATCCCAAGACGAGGAGGCCCAAGATGCGGATGACGTCCACAGCGATGGCAGCGAGTTCTTGCAGGGCCGACATTTCGAGGGGTGGGGGGTGGAGAAAGCTGTTCAAGCGTTTGGTCAGTTCAACGAGTTGAGTAGCCGGGAATTGACATGTTCAGTTGCTCAGCCAACTTACAATGGAAAACGACTGAGCGAATCTACAAAAGGAAGAGTGAATCGAAATGGAGTGCAATAAGGATGATCGAGAATGAGAATTATAAATACACAGTGCAGTGCCGATGGAAGCGACGGAAGGAAGGAACGGATGGAAAGGGAGAAACGTGGGGAAGTGGGAGTGGAGTGGAGTGGCGGCGCTTCCGACGGCCGATTGCCGCTTTTATTCGCTGCGAAACATGTGCAATGAGCAGTGTGTGATGACGCGAGAGATCAAAGCACACACAGTGCAGTGCAGTGCAAATTGCGCAAAGAGTTTATGCTCGTTTGTACGCAGGAACAGAGCTCTGAACTCGAGTTTCAGGACCAAAAGCCTGGATGAGGCGACTTTTTCACGCCAGCAAACGATGACGCGAGATACACGGACGAATAACCCGTACGTACGATGAGCGAGCATTGGATTCGTTTGTTGTTGTGACGCGCGAATAGAGTTGAGCGACAGGACTAAGCCTGGAGAGTGAACAGGTGGTCGATTTGCACCACACTGCTTCTTTGCATGGCTGCTCAGAAACCGACAAAAAGCAACGCCTTGCACACATGCATTCCATATGCTCATCAAACCTCGACACGCACTGTTCTACAGTAAAACTCCAACTCGAGCAAATCTCAGCAGACGAATGTATGAAAAAAAAAATTGGCGCCAAATTTTCAAACTTTATTTCTTTGATCGCCCAAAAACAGAGTTTCACTTTTGAATTTTTTTTCTTTGTTTTTCTTCCATCGTTCAAACCTTGTCATCCATCAAAATGGCAGGGAAGCTGGACGAGTTTGACGCTCCTGTGGCAATGACCGTGTCGTACTGCCAGCGCTTGGCGCCAGACGCCGGGCAACTGCGAGAATTCACACAGCAGTACACGAAAGCCGCGCTGCTGGACCTGGTGGCTGCACTCGACCGCGACCCGAGTTTGTACATGCCGCCAGCGTCCACCGCAGCTCCGTCCAAGTCCAGCAAGCAGCACATGCCAAGCCACAGCGGTGGGCGTGCTGGCCAGAGCCACGGGTCAGCCACTACTGCGCGTCGTGCGGGCGACAGGGATCAAGCCGTTTCACTCGCCATGCACGAAACAGCCGCCGCCGACGCGAGCGTGGCCACCGCAGCGTCTCCGCTCGTCCATGCGTGTGCCATGCTGATCCAGCCTGCCATTTCTCAAATCCGCAGGCTCCTGTGCTGCCTGGGCCTCATAACGTCGTCGCCGTCCTCCATTTCTGATTGTGAGGTTTATGACGTGTCGCATGCTCTCGACAGCGAACAGACCGTCGCCCTCGACAAGCTCAAGCGAGACATCTTCAAAGCATATGCGTATGCGTTCCCAGGTAAGGCGCTTTGAAGCCAGAGGTTGGCGGGGAGGGAGAGGGACAGCGGGCTTTGAGATTTTGGTTTCAAACGCGAATCTGAGGCTGAGTCGCCGAACAATCCCATTGTTCACTCATGGCTCACGTAACATTCGCTCTTGCACTCGCGTATTTCTCTTCATACAGAGTCCAATATTCTTGTTGATCAAGATGGCATCATCGGACTGGTGGAATCTCACTCCCACATGCCAAGCATTCATGCTCTGCCACCGCCACCTCCTCCACCACCACCAATGGCCCTGCCACCGACAGCTGTCGGATCACTGTCACTGCTGCGCCCTTCGTCTGTTCCGGAGGCGGCGCCGCGCACAGGAAAATTCGTCCACGGCTCGAGCGCGTTTTTGTCGGCGTCGCTTATTAACGGTGGCGCGTACCTCGCAAAGCACACACAGGTGACTGCGCAGGTAATGAATCCCGCGGCCATAGTCAATCGTCGCGAGATGCTGCAGCAGTCCTCACCGCCCTCGATTGCCGCGCGTTTGGGCTCGACCCGTAAGCCGCTTCGGCAAGTCGTCACCCCGCAGCAGCAGCAGCAGCAGCCAGGCGCACGACCAAAGAACAACTTGATGGCGGAGCTTGCTCACCCAAGCATCCAAAAGCGGTTGCGGAAAGTCAACCCCGGAAGGTACGGTCGTTCAGTGTTGTGTTTTGTTTCCCCGAAAATTCGTCTCCACACCTACTGGCACTCATTCACTCTGTCACTTTTTGCATAAAAAACCAGCGTCTCTCGCAACAAGTCGCGCGTGCAGCACTCCAACTCGAACTCACCGTCGCGCAGACGAACGCGAGCAACACCAACGAGGGATTTGTCAGAGGCCCTGTTTGCAACCGTTCTCCAGCACAAATTCCGAAATGCTCGCAGTCCAAGCGTCGCCGGCAGTGCTCCTGCCTCGCCATGGAGCTGATGGCAATCTGTTTTGGGCTGGGTCTATGCTCGGGAATTGATGAGGAATGCGTTGTGAGTTTGTTTTTTCGTTACAATAGAAGTTTAACCCTGTGTTGTTGTTAGGGATTTCCAGTGGTGTTATTACGACCTGAGCCAGAATCACAACTGGAGCAAGCAATACAAGAATGTAGTTTGCCGCAAACCGAATGGCGAAAGGATGATCCGTGCTGTGCACGAAACTCTCAACATGGGCTGATTTTTGCTCCATCACTGTCATCAACCTCAGCGGCTCAATCTCAACCTGCGATTTCAACACCGTTCTGGAGCATTGCTAACAAGTACACTCACTCCTGGTTTGTGTTTCTCATGTCTGACCATACCACCACTGAAGAAGCCCTCCTGCGCCGCAAAGCAGCAGTGCGTCCCTCTTCCCTCATCCCTCTTCCCCCTTCGTCCACCCTCTGCCATTTCCCCCTCGATGATTCAATCTGGCCAATACGCAACCGTTTCACACCCCCCCCCCTCTCTCCCTCCGCCAGTCGCGACTGAACAAACATCCGCCCAGCATGGAACTCGCCTGAAACATGTTTTGCCGCTATATCTGATGTTGATCGTTTCGCTCACTTTTGTCGTTGAATGTTGAATGTTGAACACACACTCGCAGGCTACTCAAGTCGCAATCGCACAGGGCTTGCTGGGCGAGTCCGACCCCGTTGCGCTGATGCTCGATCTGGACCACGTCCGTGGCGCGATCGACAGCGTGCGAGCCGCGTTCGACGCCGACTCGACCACCGACTTTTGCCACTGCCTGGCGATCAAGTCCAACCCGACACTCAGAGTGCTGCAGTACGTCGTCCAGCAAGGGATGGGTCTCGAAGCCGCCTCGCTCGGCGAGCTCGTCCAGGCAATTCGCGCTGGCGCTCCCGCCGAGGTTGGTCATTGTCCATGCATTGTCATTCATTCATTCACAAAGTGGCACCTGCTTGATGCATTGAACAAACCGAGCTAAACTCACTCCGATCGGTGAATGGTGGAAAAACGATCGACAGAATATCGTGTTTGACAGCCCTGTCAAGACAACCGAGGAAATTCGCTTTGCGCTCAAGCAGGGTGTCACCATCAACCTTGACAATATGCCAGAGCTTGATCGCGTTGCAGCCATTGCAGCTGCATCGGGCGATGCGGCCTCGCGCTATCGCGTTGGCCTGCGCATCAATCCTCAGGTGCGGATAGCGTCAAATTCTGCGCGCTCCAGCTGCTATCTTTGTCTTCTTTTTTTTTCGTTTCCTGTGACTCACGCTCTTGCATTGAACTGCATAGGGTGCGTCGGGATCCTTGGAAGCATTCTCAACTGGAACAATGACCTCAAAGTTTGGCATTGGTCTTGTCGACGCTCGGCAAGAAATTATCGCTGCATACAAGCGTTATTCTTGGCTCAACGCCATCCACATTCACGTGGGCTCGCAAGGTGGGTGGTGTTGGCCTTTTGGCAGCTGTTTGTCGATGTGTAGCTCTGACGTTTCCCCCTGTTGCAACGCAGGTATTCCCATGGACTTGATGGCTAGCGGAGTTCGTCGCATGCTCGACCTCGTCAAGGACATTCACGCTGCAGTGGGCAAACAGCAGATTACGTTGATTGATATTGGTGGCGGGTAAGTTCCTGTCGCCTTCGTCAGTGGACCGGTACTTTGCTTGTTTCGTTCCATTCCGTCGATTTTCCCTACTCACCTTAACTCCACACGTCTTAGCATGTCCGTCAACTTTTCTTCAGAGGAAATCACCCCGACGTTCGCAGAACTGTCCGAAACGTTGCAACAGGCCGCCCCTGAGCTCTTCTCGGGAGAGTACCGCGTCTTTACCGAATTTGGCCGCAGCATTGTCGCCAAGGCCGGATTTTACGCCTCTCGTCTGGAATATGTCAAAACCACCGGTGGTCGTCAAATTGCCTTGCAGCACATTGGTACATACCCCCGTTTCCCCGTATTTTTTGTGTTGAATCATCGTTTTAGTCATGTTTCACACTCATTCGCTCCTCGCTCTTACCCTCTCTCCCTCCCTCCAATGCAGGTGCTGATATGGCAATCCGAACAATCTACCACCCGGACAAGTGGCCCTTGCGAGTGACTTTGCTCACCTCCGAAGGCGCGCTGCGACCAGTTGAAAGCTCGGAAGCGCTCGTTGAGACGGACATTGCTGGACCATGCTGCTTTGCAGGCGACATCATCGCCCACAGACGTCCATTCCCGCAGTTGCATTCTGGCGAGTACATTCTCGTCCATGATGTCGGCGGATACTACCATTCGTCCTACTCAAAGTACAACTTGCGCCAAGCACCCGCCGTCTACGGTTTCACGGCCGCCACTCCACCCGTTACGCTGGAAGTGGAGCATCGCAGCACTACCTACGAAGAGTTTCAATTCACTCTGCTTCAAGCGCGGGAAACAGTCGAAGACACGCTGCGCATGTTCACTCCAAGCGATTGATTGCGTTCTTGCGCCTGATGCGGCGTGGCGGGTGTGATCTACTGTAACTTTTGGGATTTTTGCTACTGAAGCTGTTGGTAGTAAAATCGATTCGATTGATTACTTTATTCAAGTTTTACTTTCAAGCATTGGGTCTGTACAGAATATGGTTTTCTTCACTCGCGACGACGAACAAGATGAGAAACGATTTGCTGCATCTGCCTGCCGCAGCGGAGGTCCCAGCATCCCAGCTTAGTGGGAGAAAGAGACGCCGCCAGAGGTGTGCACGCTTTGGGAGGTAATCCAGCCGCCAGTCGGCCCAACCAAAAAGTCAACGAGATCGGCAATGTCGTCTGGGGTTCCGAGTCGCTTGAAAAGACTGGCCTGCTTGCCCTGCTCTTCCAATGCTCCCGGAAGCATGTCAGTTGCCGTGTAACCAGGAAGGATGGTGTTGACAGTGACGCCGCGTTCGGCAAGCTCCGCAGCAAACATCTTTGTGTATTCGTGGAGCGGCGCTTTCGACGGAATGTAGGGACCGAATCCTTTCAGGGCGCCAAGGCTACTGCCGCAGTGCTCACGTTGATGATGCGACCATTGTGCGAATCACCTTGGCAGC